GAATGTAATGATAAAGTTTCACTAATGCTTACAAATCGACTGCCGAATTTTAGTGCTCTTGGAAACATATCGCTCGAAGATCTAGCGCGACTAGCCCAGCTTCAGCCTGAAATGTCCTCACAAGAACGTGTCATAGATGGCTACCTTGAGCTGCTAAGGCAAGCGCGGCTTGATGCAGAGACATCTTTGGAAAACATGGACAAAGTGGTCACATATTTCCAGGTTTGTTGCTGAAATATGTGGTGGAGCAGCTTTTTTATTGATTTTATCTCTTATGACCAGAACTTTCTTGCAGAACGTTCTGTCAGTGAACATCAGCGCAGATAGCTATGACACCTCAGCTTGGGTTCAAAGCGTTTATCAACAAATTATGACCTGTATTACATGGTGTAAAGTTAATATGCAACGAATCTCCTACTTCTTGAAGGTATTATAGTTTTTAAGTTTTTCGCTACAGTTTTCTGCACATCTGCTTCACTTTGCAGCCTGGCTTGGAGGAGTCTGATGTCGCAGACTTTGTTAGAACGCTCGGAAATGAATTGGCGCAATGTGAGCAATTAGCTATAAAAGGTGGAAAGGCCATTCCTACGGATAAGGAACTGAAATTGACACCACAGGCATGTAAATTTGCATTTTGTTTTAGTTGGTATTGACTGAGTTTCGATTTAGGCCAGCGATGATATCCAGTCGGCCCTTCAACTTCTGCACAAAATTGCATCTATTTTGCATGAAACTTGTGGAATAGCAAGCGTTCAGATCAACATGAATCCAGGTATGATATAATGGTTCACGAATACTTCTTGTTTCTTTCTTTTTGTTTATCTCGTAATCAAAATATTGTAACGGGTCTGTATCATTTTGATCGCATTGCTGCTATGCGTAGTCAGTTTGAGCCGTGCATTATCGCGATCTAGCAACGTCAAAAACTGCAGTTTTCGCGTTTTTTTAACTGTACAAGAGCTTACGAGCATCAGCGCCGTGATTGTTCTAGTGATTTAAGACTTTTTTTCCAAATTGCTAGACTAGTTTTGTCTATTGGGCTTCTTAGAAGCTGCTAGGTG